GTCCAGTCTTTCTTTGGTTTGTTGATTCTGGATCTTAGGAAGTTTTGATTTGTGCCTAGGATCCCTACTGTTTCCTCTATCCCTTCTGCAATATTTTCATGGTATCTGGCCTTATATTGAGGTCTTTGATCCATTTAGAATTGATTCTGGAGCAGGGTAATATAATAAGGATCTAGCTTCAGTTTTCTGCACATGTATAGCTAATTCTGCCAGCACCATTTGTTGAAGAGGCTGTCTTTTCTTCTATTCTGTGTTTTTGGCTGCTTTATCAAATATTAAGTGGCTATAGGTCTGTGGTTCACTTCTAGGTCTTCTATTCCATCTTTCAATATTAAAAAAATCATATTTTTATTATTGTCTAATTCATTTCAATAAGCAATTGTAATTAACTATTAACATCAATGAATTAGGGTATTCTATAAATTAATGATCCAAAAGGAAATGTCTGAACAGGTGGTAAAATCCTGATATTTTATAGCTTTTTCTCTATCAGCATAGAACATTGAAACATAATGGGAAATTTTTTCTTTCTCTAAAGCTTTTTTTGTTTATTTTGGAGTACAACTTTCTGGCTAATTATTGAAAATAGCCTTCTAACATATATTTCTTTAAGAGGGAGACAACAAAATGATACTTTTTATGTCACATATTTTCTAATTTCTTTTTCTTGATAAAGAGTATGTTCTTCAATTTCTACTTATTTGTGACTTTTCTAAATTTTCTTGTCATTGGTTTCTACTTTTATTATGATCAGAGAATACCTGTTATGATTTCAGTCTGTGTTTGTGTGTGTGTACATACACACACACACACACACATGCACACACACATGTACACACCTTGTACTGGGGGTTGAACTCAGGACCTGGGTTCTGTCCCTGAGATTTTATGCTCAAGGCTGATGTTTTGCCACTTGAGCCATACCTCCACTTCTGGCTTTTTGATAGTTAATTGGAGATTAAGAGTCTCACGGCTTTCCAGACCAGGCTAGCTTTGAAATCTCAGCCTCCTGTGTAGTTAGGATTAGAGATGTAAGCCACTGTTGCCCAGAAATTTTAGTCTTTTAAAATGTACTAAGAAACTCAATTTATATCCTAACATTCTCATGGGAATGTTCCCGTGTATACTTGGCCTAAATGTTTATTCTGCTGCTGTTTGTGTTTTTTATCAGTTTATATTGTCTTCTCTTTCCTTGCTAATTTTTCTGATTGGTTCCATCATTACTGAAAAGTTAAAACATTAACATTTTCAACTGTTACTTTTTGTATTATGTTCCAGTCCTGGGGCTTGAACTCGGGGCCTGGTTACTGTCCCTGAGCTTTCTGCTCAAAGCTAGCACTCTAATATTTGAGCTACAGCTCCCATTCTGACTTTTTGGAAGTCAATTGGAGATAACAGTCTCATGAACCTGCCTAGGATGGCTTCAAACCAATATCCTCAGATCATCGTTCTGAGTAGCTAGGATTACAAATGTGAGCCACTAGCACCCAGCTCAACTACTTAAAATCTTCTGTTTCTCTTGTTTTATCATATTTTTGCTTTATATATTTTGAGGTTCTGTTATTATATATATTTTTTGTTTATATGCACAGTTGTCATTTTTTCCTGATGGGTGGAATTTTTCATCCTTAGGTAATGTCTTTGTTTTTTTTTTGTAGTAGTCTTTATTTTAATCTGCGTGATGTTAGTAGTATATCTATTACATCTGTCTTTGGTTACTGTTTGCATGGAATATCTTTTTCTTTTTTTTTTTGGAATATCTTTTTCTATCTGTTCACTGTCTGTGTCTTTGGTTCTAAAATGAGTCTGTTGTACATAGCATGAAGTTGAATCATGTTTATTTTAATCCGTCCTACCAATCTGTCTTCATTTGGAGAGTGTGCTCCCTTCAGCACAAGGAACCATACCAAGAGCTTAGGATGGCATGTTCAAGACCTTTACTCAGAATCAGCTGACTGCAGATTCTTAAGTGCTTGCTTGATTGCAGTAGACTTTGGTTTCTAGAGTTCAGGTAAAGTTGATTCTGACAGTTTTGCCAGGTTATTCACTCTTTTTGGGCCCTTAGAGTTTTCTATCCTGCTATTTTCACTGGTGTCTTATCACATTTTCAACTTTGAGAAGCATATATTACACTCAAAGTTTTTTAAAGAGTGACAGTGTGTCTTCTTTCTACAGAGGTTATCCAAATGTTAAGGTAATTCATATTTAGCTTGCAAAGAACCGTAACACATTTAAAAGGAAAAGGATCATGGCAAGTTAATATATTAGATCACCTGATATCAATATTGATAAAGATGACCAACTTACCCATAATTCTGTCAAAAAATTTTCTAGTTTGCTGAATAGGGAAAGTAAATGTTTAGATTCAAGTCCCTAACAGAAATATAAAATGTTTTAGAGGAGACTACACATATAAGGGTCTTGGAGCTGGTCATGGTAATTCATATCTATAATCCTGCTTTTTAGAAGGTAGAGATCTGGAAGATCACTGTTTGAGGCTAGCCTGGGGAAAAGTTAATGAGACTCTGCCTTAATCAACAAGCTGGGTGTTGTGGTTCCCATTTGTAATTCTAGCTATGCCGAGGCCATAGGCAAAAGGATCCCAGTTCAGTCTATCTCTAAGCAAAACCGCCAAGCCCCTAACTGCAAAAGAGGGCTGGGAATATAACGCCAGTGGTGGAGTGTCTGCCTAGCAAGCACAATGCCCTCTCTGAGATCAAACTCCAGTACTGAAGGAAAAAAAACCACAAACAAAAAACATGAGTTTGAAGCTTGAGGCAATAGTATGTTCCTATAGGCAGCAGAATCTCTTGGGCCCAGAAGTTAGATGTGAGCTTGGGAAACATAATGAGACCCCATCTCAAAATAACAACAACATTGCCATTATCAACAACAACAAACAAAACTTTTCGTACATACTCACTTTGTGGTTTTGTGGATATGCTTTGTTTAACTTATCAGATTAATAAGAATGTAAGAGATATTCTCACTGCCTTCACAGAGCTGTATCTCTTTGTGACTTTGTTCAGTCTAAATCTGAAGCTATACAGCCAAGAGGATCTGGCTCTAAAACCACATTTTCTGTGCTTGAATTCCATTTTCATATATGTATAAGCAGTACAAACTTGAATGTGTTACTTAATTTTTCTCTGCCCCATTTACCTCGTCAACTGGATAATAACTGAATATAGGTTTGTTTTATGGCTAAAATCAGAGTTACTAAATTTTGTAAATTAAATACATGAACTAGTTTGAGGTACAGCTTATTTAGAATGTCTTTCTAGATAGGAAAATCTCCAAGCTTTTCAATTTAGCAGGCTTAGCCTTTTTTGAGGGGGGATTGGGGGGAAAGGGGAGAGATGGGGGGTGTCTTGAGGCTTGAATTCTGGACCTGAGAGCTGTCTCTCTACTTTACCACTTGAGCTACAGCTCCATTTCAGTGTTTTGGTGGTTGGTTGGAGGTAAGAGTCTCATGAACTGCTGCTGGCTTTGAACCATGATCCTTAGAGCTCAGCCTCCTGAGTAGTTAGGATTACTGGTGTGAGCCACCAACAACTGTTAGTCATTTTTAACTATATCATAGATCTTGCATTAATTTGTATTGAGAAAGATTCTTAAGCTCTTATTTTGTAAGAAATCTACTTTTGTAGGGATTTTCTCTGATACAGTCCCAAATTAATAAAACCTAAATTTAAAACCCCAATTACAGAATGACTGCTCATTTGTCATTTGGCCTTTTTACTCAACAAAAAAGATTCATCACATTTTTCTGTTAAATAACCATCCCTTTCTACCACATTATTTATATGTTTAATATAAGGAGCACATCTATTTCATTTAGCCAATTAGAATGGAAGATACAACCTTATTACCTACAGTGCTTACTCTGCTCACTTTATAACTCCTTAGCCCTCCATAGTCACAAAATATTCACACTTGGGGTACCCTATTAGCCTGTAGCAATAAGGTCCAGAAAACTTAAGGAAAATAATAGTTCATAAAGGAAAGCTTGACTAATTATAGTTTCATTTTATCTTTCTCCAACTTTATTTTTTAAACAACAGTTTAGTACTAGGTATATAGATTTTTGTGCCGGTTGTTGGAATGTTTTAGCAAAATTAGTTTTTGGAATTAACAGAACAAATAGCTATCATTTTGTCTCGAATATTATTGGAATTTGATTAAACCTAGTGGAGATAAAATCTTAAACCCTAATTTTAACAGTATGTTTCTTTGCCTTTTTCACTGGTTATATAGTTATGATTTCTAATTCTACCTATGTACACAAGAATATGTAAAATGTAATTTAACACCTATTTTATCTGAAGTACTGAGTCACAATGACCTGTTGAATATATTTAAGCTACATTAATAGTGTAAAAATGATTTACAAATTTATTTCTGAAAACCAGACTAGAAACACTGAACAACATCGAAATTACTCCTTAAAGTACTAAAAAATAACTTCTTAATTATAACTACTTTTGATAAATGGAACTGTAGCTGTCTTTAAATGGGCATAACTTTTTTGAAATGTAAAACTGGGATTCCATTGGTTGCTGCTGGATAGTAGATTCAGCATAAATAACAATAAAGTGCATATGGGATTCAGAAACTGGCTTTAAGATTCTAAACAAAGACCGTTGAGGCACACAGGTGCATTAATTTTTAATTTGTTTCTTTGATCTCTTAATTACTGAAAAAGATTTATTGGTTAATTTTAGAAAGGCAAGTGTTTGAAAAGTTTTGCCAAATACTGTCTTCTTTAAATGACTGTATGGTAATGAAAAGTTAGGAGGAGAGCCAAATTAGATTGAATAATTGTTCAGTCATGTGGGTCAGACTAGCTGCTTAGCCTGGTTGTTAGACTGATTGCTCAAATTACATTGCCTGGGGTCCTGCACTTGGTTGGCTGTCTTCTCAGATCTTAACAAGGTTCTGGGAATTTCTTTCTCTGACAAAGTTTGCTTTGTATTCCTCCCTCTGCCCCTCCCTTCCAGGATGCTTCATCTGCAGACATCAGAAAAGCATATAGAAAGCTTTCACTGACTTTACATCCAGACAAGAATAAAGATGACAATGCAGAAACTCAGTTTAGACAAGTAAGTGAAATATGCTGTTACATATATTTGGGGACTGTTGTGCTAATAAATACATCTATGGTAGATATAATAACTTACATGTAGAATTTTTCCATTTGAAAATGAAATAGTCAAAAATATAGCATACATATTTTCTTTTTTATGAAATAGCTTTTCACCAACATTTTGTGTTACTCTAATCTCTTAAATTGTTGGACAGTCATAATTATATTGTCTATAAAATGTAGCTTTTGCTTTTAAGAGGCATATTTTTAAATAAACTATTCTTATTACATACTTTTTTCCCCAGAGATTCATTTAGATTTCAGATATTTTAAAACTTTTAAAAGTGTTATCAAAGATACAAAATGTTACTTATAATTAAGATTTCTACTGTTGGTTTCATTTGGGCAAATAGGGTTTTCTGCATGTGCGTTTTACAGCCTTCACCCTCCTGTGTGCTTTTTTTTTAGTTGAGAGTATTTTTATTTTAAAGTAATGCTTCTGTTTTAGTTGGTGGCCATTTATGAAGTTTTAAAGGATGATGAAAGAAGACAGAGGTGAGTGTTCATTTGTGCTTTTGAATTAAGATGTTAAAGTTCCATGCCACAGCTTTTAAAAGGAAAGGGTAAAGTCTCAAGCATTTTAGTTAGTATTTTGTATTTATTTCTGCCAGGAAATGCATTGTTTCATAAATGTGTGTTTAAATCAGAGTTCATTTCTATTGAAAATAGTCAGTGGGTTGAGCCACTTACTTTTAGATTTTAGAACACATAAGGTTAGCAAGTTTTTAATTAGATGAGATTTTTAACATGGACGTTTATGTCCTAGGAAATGCAGTACTACTTGGCTTCAAACAAACGTCCATTCTTTTCAATGTATCAGTAATAGCTCCTATCTGTACTTGATCTTTCCTCCCTGACCCTTCCTTAAATGTTTAAAATTAGCCTGGTAGCTATAGTCAAGTTAGTATAGTTTCTTGATGATTCTTTATTCTCCAAATAAGCCAATTTGTGAGTGAAAGAATAGACTTGAACAAGCCTGTAGAAGGTTAGGAAGAAAAAATTCATCTCTTCTCATTTCTTTCCTTTTCTTAATCTGCTCCAGTGATTATGTTTAGGGTAAATCTCAGAGCGGAGACAACTCAGAATTCTGTGTGAATCTCTCAGAAGAGTAGTAATGTATTTCTGTAGTGGTTTATGCCCATGATTTAGAGATTTCCAGAGGCTTCTTTCTTTTCCTGTACTCCTAGAGAATGTGTGGAATGTAGATAACAATTATGGGGACTTCAAAGTTTTAAAAGTCAGACACACAAATAAGAAGTACATTTGAAACCACATCTCAAGACACATATAGACACACATACAACTGAAATAAGTCTCATAAGACATTTACTGTGATACTGATTTTTCTATTCTGAGCTGTCTAATCTTTATTTTTCCTTTTTTAAAAAAACAGTATTGATTGTAGTCTACTAAAGTGATTTTATGAGACAGTAGTGAACCACATCCGAAATCTGAAAATGTTGCTCTACAATAATAGACTGCTTTAAAAAGAACATAGATATTTGAGATTTAAGCTCAAGATAGCCTAAATATCTATATCTTGTCTATGGAGCTCTTACAAACAACCCCAAAACTTAATAGTACATGGCAATCTGAATCTTCCTTCAAATTTGTTGTCTAGGATTATTCTACATCCAAAAATGTTAGCTACCACTTCTGGTTCTCATCATAACTGCTTAATTTGAATGCCTCAGTTTGTCATATTGCTAAGCAGCAATTTAAGATATTCTCTTGATGTGGTCTTTGCTTTATAACCAGGACTGGCGTTGGTCCAGGTATCATAGCAGACATTCCTCTGGTTTGAGATAATCTATTGTGTTGAAACAGTTCTCCAAGTGTGTTGAAAGAAGTGTTGGTCATTCAATACACATTTCCTAGTTGATTTCTTCCAGTGAGCCCCTAGTTTTGTTTCATACATTAAGAATGTGTCTGTGAAATAGCTTTATTGAGACTTCTCACATGTTTGGCATCACATTTTGTCTTTTACCTCATTGCTGTCTTAGGAGTCAGTTTCTTTCAATTATTGAAATTATTTCTATCTTTTCAGATAGCTTTTTACATATAAGTTGTTTCTTCATTAAGATAACCTCTTGAACCATCTTTTCAGGATTAGTTCCCTCTGCATTTATTGTAAAGTGTTGGTAGAAAAAGTGGATCTGACAGTTAACACCAATAGCTGTAGTGTTTGTACCCCTAGAGGCACTAGTAACTCTTTGGTAACTGGTTTTCCTTGAGGCAAAAGTCTTAACTAATCAAGCTGAGAATCACTTCTCTAAAGCCTTCGCCTGAGGCCAGGAGACCTATCAGAATTTAGACCAATAGGAGAAAGGCATGTCTGTTGAGGTTACCTAAAAATCATAATTCCTTAAAAATAAAAGAACTCAGCTTTATTCTTGAAAAATGATCATCTAATAGTAGAACTCAAGAATACATTTTGCAGTTATTTACCATAGTAATCATGGAATAAGTGCTTTTAAAAGTGAAGCTTTTAGAAATTTACAGTTTGGAAAATTGTCATAGATATGTTTGCTTAGATATGTATGTTTTCCATACATACAATTAAATTTTCATTGGAATCAGATGCATTATTTACATTTTGGTGGTAGAAAAGGAAACAGCAGTGAGATAAGCTAACAGACCAAGTTGTACATGCCATCACCATAATCTAGTTCTTTTGTATTTTTGTGCTGGTCCTGGGCTTGAACTCAGCCTGTGTGCTGTCTCCCTGAGCTTATTTTGCTCAAGTCCAGCACTCTGCCACAGCTTGAGCCACAGCTCCACTTCTGGCGCTTTTTTTTTTTTTTTTTTGTAATTTATTGGAGAGAAGAGTCTCAGGGACTTTCCGGTCCAGGCTGTCTTTGAACCACATCCTTTGATCTCTGCCTCTTGAGTAGCATGAGTCCCCAGCTTTCAGTTTACAATCCAGTTTTTGAACATTTTTTATCACTAAAGAAAATGCCAAGAAGCCAATTTGCAGGCATTCTCTACTCTAACCTTGGTCCCAGGCAATTGTTGATTTACTTTTTATGTGCCTATAGTCTTTTCTGTTCATCTCATATATAAATAAAATCATAATATGAATCTTTTGCATATAGCTTCTTACTATTACCGTGTTGTTAGGTTCCTCCATACTGTAGCATATTCTGTTAGTTCATTCTTTTTTTATTACTGAATAGTACTCCATTGTGTGAATATAACACCTTTGTTCATCCATTTATGAGTTGATGGACCTGTGAATTGTTAACACTTTTTTCTCGTGAGCTGTGATGCTATGAACATTCACATATGTCTTTGTATAAACATATGGTTCACTTCCTAGATTCCTAGGAATACCATTTTGAATGAACTTTAAGCTGCCCTCAAAGGCATAGGCTGTATAGCATGAACATAACAGGTTTTCCTAGTATAGCAACCTTTCCTAAACCACTTAGCAAACTTGCTAATTTGGGATAACAGTGGCCCAACTATAATCTTGTATAGCTGTTTTTTAGCTAAAGTATTGGGTACCAGTCTTTACCTATATCATTAGTATTATTAACATATTTACTTTTGTTTAAAGATCTATTATGAATTTAACCAATATTCCAATTTGTTGTTTGTTTTTGTTAGCTCACTGCTGGCTTTGAGCTTTCCAAGAAAGTAGTCTATCACTTTTGCTGTCATTATTTTTCAAATAGGATCTCACTCTTTGCCTGGGCTGGCCTAGACTACAATTCTCCTATTTGCAATTCTTACATTCCTAAGAGATAACAGGTACACATTGTGTACTCCAGCTTTTTTTGGTCAAGATGGAGATCTCACAACTTTTTGTCCAGACCAGCCTTAATCCACATGATCCTCTTGATCTCTGCCTCTCAAGTAATTAGGATTATAGGCATGAGCCACTAGGGCCATGCTTTAAAATTCCTTTTGTCTATTTTATTTATGTTACTACATTTATTAGAAGTTTAATATATTTTAGTCTACTAATATGTTTTATTTATATATGCAATTAAAAATAGTTATTAGCCTTGATCTTTTAACATGTATAGACCCATTATGTAGATATTGGAAATTTGATTACAAATGTGTTTAAAACTGAATAAGCACCTTCTGAGAAGAACTTTAATGTTGGCACCTTCCTTAAGTTGGAGGTACACATACCATGTACAAGATACACAGTTTGGGCAGACACATATAATTTTAGTCTTATTTATGATCTCTGTATAATTAACTTGTTCTAAAAGGTTTGAAATCTTACCCAAATCAAATTGTGTTGTTGTTGTTCATTTAAGCTTATAATTTAAGCTTTATATGATGAAAATTCTTTAGGGGAGTAGTAGAATTACTTATTCACTTTCATACTACGTGAATTTTCTATTTTATTATGTATTTACTAATTTATGTTTGAAAATATACTACTATCAATTTATATGACTGCTTTTTCCTAGTAGTTCAAAAATTTTGAATTGACTTGTTTCACAGTGTTGAGATTCTAGTATGCGACTCACTAATGATTATGTAATCGTTTTTTTGCTTATATATTTTAAGAAAATCAAGCTAAATATTATGCAACAATTATTTTTTGCTTATATGTACATTTTAAGAAAATTAAGCTAAGTAAACATAAGTTTGGCCATATGTTGGGTATGTGGAATTGATAATTAATGTAGTCCTTAAGTTTCAAGAAAATAACTTTTTAGTTCCATATGGTGTGTTGTATTGATATTTTGTTGTGAGATTTACTTCTGTCTTATATGATGTTTATACATTTTCACATTTTTAAGCTGGTTTTAATGCATACTTAAGAATGCATCATTCTCAGTTACAGAGCATTTTAACATTGCTATGAACTAAATATTAAATGTGTAATAAAGCAGCATTTTAAATTTCATTTTTTCAACCATGTTTTTTCTTAAATAACTTAAATCATATCTGTGCATCTTAACATGTGTACTTGTCATTTCATCGGGAAAGCAGTAATTTATCTTTTAATAGCATATATTCTAAAAAGTGAACTATAATAGAAGCTATCTTCCCATAAAATGGCCAGTCATGTGAGCCATAATGTTCATTAATAGTAAAATCAATAGAGCATTGATTCTAAACTTAATCCTTGGACTCTGTTGTTTAGAGTAGCAGACACAGCCTAGTAAATAATCTGGTTTTGTTTAATGTGTTCAGTGCTTGAGGTTTTGCTATCTTGAATTTGATTATACACTAGTTACACTTTTATATGTAGGGCAGAAAAATAGCTATTAATAGATACTTAGCATTTTCAGCCATGATGTTGACAAAATATTTGATAGGAGAGTCTTAGCTATGAATTCAGCTGTGTTTTCTTTTGATGCAATTCAGATCTAAAACAAAGTTAATTCTTAGTAATGCTACTAGGAAATTGTCTCTCCTTTCCTAGATGTTCTTTGTTAATCATAATTTTTTCTATTTAGTTATTTCATAGTAGAGATTTGTTAAAATTAATTTTTATATTCACCTTTTTTATCCTCTCAACAAATATGAAGTGAAATAAGATTTAGAATAAACATCAAACTTAACATCCATCAGACTTCATTCAAATAGCATCTTATTTAATAGTAATTGAAGCCTTTTTACCTACCCCTGTCTAATTTAAAATGTGTTGTTCTTAAAGATAGATTTAAATACTAATCTTTGAAGACAAAAATGATAGTTTTGTGGAGTCATGTTATTTTTATCTTGATGTTTGTATTCAGGAATTACTACAAATATTGTAAAAGAATATTTAACACCAAATTTTGTCTGACCTTGCTACTATATACAACCATATTTTGACAGTTTGCCTTTTAAGAGTTTAGTAGTAATTAATGTCATTTGCCTTCAATATTTGGTTATTCTGTGGTAGTAATATTAATAACCAAACTTGATTTAAAAATCAGGCATTTTAGATCCACTAATAAAATATTTCACATTAATAACTGTATTTTTTTTACTGATAAAGTTTCCTTTAATAAACCCTCTGCTTTATTTTTTTAGCATATCTCCAAGGTATCATTTTAATAACTATCAAAGTAGCTACTGCAGTTGTTGCATTTAAATTGATTTACATGTCAAGACTGGCAGTTTAGCAGCTGCGCTATTATTCCTAGATCGGTCAATTTACTTGAGAAAAACCTACTACTGAGCTCTACTGACCTGCCTGACAATGTAGGCCCTATTTCTATTCCGGTAATTAGGGCTGCGACTAACTCAGAATATTTTTAATTAAAATATTTTGGTCAATGTGTTGCACCAAATTAGGCCTTTCAGTGAAGGTTTATTTCTGGAAATAGTGTGATTAGAATATTTAATGAGTTGTGTTGAATTAAGATTAACAGGTTGTGTGTGTTGAACATAGTGTTTGTGATCATTTTTTTTGAGCTTCCAGTCATAAATGTTACTTCTTAGTTTTATCCTTAAAAATATCTGCCTTATAATTGACAGTTAAATCGAAATTTGAATTCAGCTGAAATTTTGTTTTCAAATAGCTTTTAAAATAAGGTTTTGCTTAATATTCTTTCCTTCCAGCAAAAGCTACAAATGAGTGAATTGCCACTTAAATTAAGTTTACAAATAGTTTTATTGTAAATGTGGTGTTAATATTGGTTGTTTCCATGATCCTTTCTAGTCTACATTTTTTTATTTCAGAAGGAATCTGAAAATAAAAACAAAAGGTGCACATTTTATAGGTTTTTATCCCACTAACCTATTTGGCAAAATAATATGTATAAATGTTTCATCCTTGAACCACGTAGTATGAGAGTAGAAAAAAAGCACTGACTGAAAATTTTATTCTAAATTTAATCCAAGTAACATGTAATTCATAGTAATGCATAGCTTTGAACTTGATTTTTCTCCTTTTGATATGCTTCCTTTTGTTGCTGACGTCTGTGATGAGCATTTTCCTAGAGACTGCTGTAGACAGGTAGACCATAATGTAGTGTCCTCCCAGGAGTCATATCACTGTGTGTAATACACAAGAGCTGAGATCCACAGACTGTTAGTAGTATGCGCCTTCTTGAAGGTTGTCAGTATTTCAGCCATGGACTAGACATTGTAATGTTGGCAGTCTACATAAACGGTATCAATTTGGAAAAAAAATATTTTTCTTTTTAAATATAGGTATGAATAGAGTTTTTTGTTTTGTTTTATCTTAAACTCCCCATGAAAACTGTTATATTTGTTACTGTAGGTATGATGATATTCTGATCAATGGACTTCCAGATTGGAGACAGCCTGTATTCTACTACAGGCGGGTGAGAAAAATGAGCAACGCTGAGCTGGCATTACTCTTGTTCATTATTCTCACAGTGGGTCATTATGCTGTGGTTTGGTCCATCTACCTTGAAAAACAGCTGGT